TCCTAGTTTGGTGGTATCTTTAACTAAATTTAGACTTTGCCAGGCTTGTCAAATTGGGAAGTATCATAAGCTCCCTTTTATGCCTTCCTCTTCTATTACGTTTAAAACTTTTGATATTATACATACCGATGTTTGGACTTTTCCATGTCTTTTATTTAGTGGTTTCAAGTATTTTGTACTTTTTCTTGACGATTTCACTCATTACTTTTTCTTGACCGGTTTCTGTGTCTTTCTAGGTTCATCTCTGGTTTCTTGGTCCTCCAAGAAACAATCTACCGTCTCTCAATCGTCTGCTAAGTCTGAGTATCGTGCAGTTGCTTCTGCATTGACTGGAACATCTCTTATCTGAACTTCATATCAAGCTTCCACAGCGCCCGGTCATCTTGTGTGATACTGTCTCTGCTACATACCTAGCTGCAAATCCGGTTAATCATGCCCGCACCAAACACATTGGTCTAGATATTCATTTTGTTCGCGAACGTGTTGCTGTTGGTCTTCTTCGTGTTCTTCATATCTTCGCACAGTCCCAGCTTGCAGATGTCTTTACAAAATCATTAGCAAAGGATAAATTTTATTCGTTCCGAACCAATCTAGACATGATTCCTTCTCCTGCTACAATTGCGGGGGGATGATAGAATATATATAATCACAGAAACCCTAATTAGGGTTTCCGATATAGTCGACTAGGGTTGTAACTTTATGTACTATAAATACCATGATGTACAACGTAAATAAGACACACAATTATTCTTTCATAAATTAACCCGCTACGATATTCAAACATAGTGAATTCAAAAGTGCATAGGATTTTTCTCATTACGATCCTCAAGTATGGTGAATTCAATAGTGCATTATTTTTTCCAAATTATGAGCCCCAAAAGTTTTAGCTCATATAGTAATTTTTTTGGGCTTTGATTTTCCCAATTTTGAAATGACTTAAACAAACGGGACATATTATGATGAAATTCCAAACATAAGGGATCAAAATTATTATCATTCCTAAGAAGAGAAGAAAATAGAGTTGAAAGTTGAAACGTAGTAGAACAAACTATTGACCCCCAGGAAGCCCCCAACTAGTCTTTAACGTTGTTATTGTTTCGTGGAGGTCATCGTGCTAGCCAAACCTCCAAGAATTTGCTTTCAGCTTTTGGTTTTCCTCTCAAATTAGAAAACAGAGAAGTAAAGACTTCTGATCTAGCCATCATAAATTATGATTATATGAAATTCACTTTTCTTACAACAGAGTAAAAGAGGGCAAGAACACACAAAAATCCCAAACAGATTTTGAGACTTGGGAATTTCAAGTGAGTTTTCACTTAATCATGCTATCTAAAGCTACCAATATATTTGCAGTATCGATAATGTTTCAGCATATACATTAGCAAATTACTCCCTTCGTCCATCAACAAATCACTTCTTTTGTCCCAAAAATATTGACAAGTTTGTTGTTTGAGGTTACTGGTACGTGTAGTTCAATTAGCGTTTGATGTTAATCATGCATGTTAGTAATTGTTATCCATTTCAGAAAAATAGTTTACATTGCGATTTATAAATTCTACTTAAAAATTAATATAGTTCAAGCACAATTATGTGAACAATTTTATGGGACAGAGCAAGTATCATCTTCTCAATGGTATTACAATCAATTGGATTTTTCCTAGCGAAGGTGTTATTGATTAGTATAACTACCGTGATGCTGTATTTTTCTATTTTCATCAATTTTTCATTAAAGGTATTCCTCTCCATTCCTAGAAAAGTTATGTACAATAGTTCTTCCTTTCATTTCAAAATATCAGTCATTTCATATATTACGCTGTAAATTAAAGAGTATGATTATTTGTAGTAACTAATTTGTGTGGTAAACATCTATTTTATCTCTTATTAAATATATTCAAATTATAAACAAGATTCAAATTAATGAATTAAGGGTAAAACTAAAAAATTAATAACTAATTTATCGTGAAATCCTAAAATAAATTAATTTAGGTATTTCTACCATCTTTTTTAAAATAAAATAACGAAGCAAAAAAGACCACTTGGAAAATACTATGCATCAACTCTATTCTTCGTTATTGTTTGGAAAGTAATTTCTCGTCTATATACCGACAAATCCAGGCAAGAAAAGCAACTATTAGCACGCTTGATACCGTTAAAAAGGATCAACAACCACACACTGGCATCTTCTTCTTCGCAGATCTCTAAACCCTAAGTTTGCTTCTTTGTATGAAAAGAACAAATCTTTCATTTTAATTTGGTATTGCATCTTCAAAATAGTTATATAGCACTAACAAGTTCATGAGCCAAGATGGCTCATTTAACGTAGTATAGAGGATGGTAACTTGTTTAGAAATACAGGCGAATGATCACCCTTTGCAAACAAGTTATAAGGTCGCATTTAGCTGCTCTTCTCCCACAGGTTTGTGCCCAACATTTCTACAGTCTCACGGGCATACCACTTGATGAAGCATGGAATCTGCACGGTGTTCAGTTCGGACGGCAACGATGATCTAGGAGGCGGCAGATGGCCTAAAACCTGCAAGACAGAGCCTCGGGGGTCTCCCGAGGGTAGACTCTCGGATGCTTAAGTCAATAAGGGAATAAAGAATAGGGAGAGTTGTGTATATCGTGTGTAGGAGGTGTAGAAGATATGAATTATGGGAGAGGCACCACCTCTTTATATAGAGGTGGTGTTACCTGTTTCCTGAAACCCTAACGGAATAGGTTTAGGCGGTGGCTTAATCTCCAAGTAATCTTATCCTAGGTGCCTAGGGTTAATTTATGGGCCAAAGATGTCAGTAACAGGAGAGAGGGGCTGAATTGATTTTGACGCCGGAGCCGGCCATCAGTGTACGGTAACGGTGGAGGGGGAGCGAATTGATGCTTGAGATTTACATTGAAGACATAATAGGTAAGGCTTCCATGTTCTTTTCCTTTGAATCGTAGTGTTCAGCCTTCATTTGTCTCCTTTCGCCAATTTTCTGCCCTTTACTTGCTCATAAATTGCAAATAATCTTGTTTGCTTTTGTACCAATTGGGGTTTGAAAGTTTGCAATTTGGTTTAGAGACTTAAGAGTATACGTTTCAATAAGATCTGTAACTTACTGGACCTTGTAGTACATTTTTTCTCTGGTGAATTTCCTGAAATAAGACTAAAAACACCCTTGTTTCTTAGGCGGAGTTAATCGGAAAAAATGCTTATGTTTGATTTGCATACGACGTGTTTGTTTATATACTTAAATAAACTTTGATGAGCACTTTGGAACTAAAGTTAGTTTTTTTTTTTTTTTGTGGTCGGTTGATGTTTTTGATAGCCCAAGTTGACAACATTTTTTTGACTGTTTTATGATGAAATCTTGAAGGGAACTAGACATCATTGCTTCAAGGCTTAATATGAAGAAATCATTTTCCAAGAAGTCTTGCCTAAGGATTATTGGGGGAGAAAACAACCATAGTGTTCACTCATAATGTTGTTTAATTTGCTAGGAGAAAGTGTGCCAACCGTAAAAGGCTAGCAAATTTTATTCACTATTTTAACCGTAAAAGGCTTAGAAAATTTATGCAAATTTACGAAAATGACTTTGCAACAATGCTGCTTTTATCAACCACTGAAAATTTAATTCAAAAGTTTGGGTCCTATTGCAGTGACAACATTACACAGACAATGAATTATACTCCCAATTCAAGTTAGGGTTCTTTTGTTTTTCTTCTCTGCTATAGTCATGCATGGTTCTGGAGTTATTTAGAATATATTTCCTTGTGATCTAAGTTTATGGATCTGGTTTGAAAGTTAAAACTCCGAAATTTCTTTGTGTTGTTAAATGAATGATGTTTTTCGATGGATGAAGAGAGAGCCAAAACCAAAAATGACGAAAAGGGCTGTAAAACAAGTCATGTTAAACAAGTTAGCTGAACCTTTCCATTCCTTTGATAAAAATACTGACGAATACATTTGCACAGGTTTCCCATATTGACAGAGTTAAAGAACGCAAAAAGGGCGGCGGGAACAGAAAGCAGTGTTCACCTGATGCTTCTCCATAGAGCTAGAATACCTTTTGACAGTTTTATCAGACACTTCTAGGTTAGAAATAGAAATGGCTAAACTATGCTTCATCTAACTTCAAGCAGTATTGCCTTGGGAAGTTGAGATTGTCCTTGGTCTGAGTTAGACTTTCAACTAGAGACCAAGACTTTCAAGCAGTATTTATGATCAGAAAACCTTTTAGGCAACATTATCCTAAAAGGTTTTCTGATCATAAATAACCAACCAGACATGCTTCATTGGTGATTAGTGGTGGTGTATTAGTTTCACACCTTTTGTTTGTTCTTTTTATATTAGACATCCTCTGAATAATTACTCAAATAAGTTGTATATTATATGATGAAATAAATTCCATAATTCCATCCATTTCTCACAACTTATCTTCCTGACGTCCAAAACTGATTGGTCACCTCACACCTACGACCGCACCCTCGTGCGGTCTACCCCATCTAGTATATATTTGAGTAGCATGCCATTGTCGACTCTAACGAGCCTGCTAAGTTGTGTGAAAGATGTAGTAGTATTTTTATATTGTATGAAAGAAGATCAACGAAGAAGAGTACCGACAGAATGGCAATGGAAGTCTTTTCAGATTTAAAACTCTTTTAATAAATGTTTTAAATAATATTATATGTCCACGTCTATGATTTTGGGATCGATCATAGTTAAATTGATTTAATACCTTTACTAAGGTTTGTTTTGGTTTGCATCTCATCAATTTTGCCTTCTGCTCATACCTTCAATATTTTGCCCCCTTAGATCACTCACCTTCATAAACCTTTTTGTTTTTTTTTTTTTTTGTTTTTTGTTTTCAGATTCTTTCCTGCAGCCATTTCAGATCCAACAACAAGATCATGGACTCCTGTACCTTCATCGATCGTATTCGTTCTACCTTACATTATGCAGGATTGCGGGTGGACAAGATGTCTCCTTACGATGAGGGATTGAGTACGATGTGGTAATGAGGAATTTTTTATGGATTCTTGAAATGTTTGTCCTTTCTGTCGGAAAGTTGTGCAATGATGAAAATCTGGTATCTTTCTTGAACAAGATTGAAGATACTGTTGCCGCAATTCAACCCGTTGATTCGGATGATCGAGCTGTTTTGAATGATCTTATAATTGGGTCACAAAAAGAAATTATTAAGTCACTGGAAAAAGAAATCGATGAATGGTACGCCACTCTCTTAGATTCTCATTACCCACAATATTCCAGTTCTCTTGCTACAAATGAAGTCTTGGAAATCATTAGTTCCATAGTGAAGTATATACCGGATTTCATCTCTAGTTTGTCAGATGGTTTTGAAAGAGACATGAAACCTGAAATAGAAGTCTTGGAAGAGCAAATGACGTTCTTGACAAGTCTCATGCTCTTTGCCAAGCACGGAAACGTTGAGGGAGCTACTACTGAATGCTCGTAGTGCGCTTTTTATGAACGAGCAATTGGAAGAGCTATATGAAGGACTCAGATCGTTGAGAAACATCATCCTTAAGCAGTAGCAACAGCCTGATGACCACCACTTCATTAATCTAAAATGCAAGGAAGCTATTGTTGCAGTGGTATGTGATACCGGAGTCTCAATTTTTTCATTATTCCAAATGCAGGTCAAGTTAGACCTTAGAGCTGTTCAGGATTTGTTAGAAGCAATCAAGATTCTTCTTGCAGAATGTGATCAGCAGAAGGATCCACAAGTATCGAGGTTCATTGTGCCGAGTACTATTCAGTTGGGCTTTATTGATTTCTTGTTAGAAAAACTTACGGAGCTGATAAATGGCGCTGATAAACCAACTGCAAAGAGTCGTGCTTTAACTATCCAACAAGAATTCATCTCCTTAAGATCTTTCTTGGTGGATATTATGGAGTTGCGACGTCAACACAAGGAACTCCAAGATCTTTGGGATCGCATTTTCGAGGTGGCATATAGAACCGAGGACCTCATTGACAACCTGATGATCAACAACTTCAAAGATTTGATTCTCTCACGAAGCACCTCAGCAATATTAAGTCGGGAATCGAAGGCAAGAGACAAGAAATTGAACTCAAGAGACAAGAAATTATCAAAGTGAAGAAAGCCACTCTTACAAACAATCACCATCAGCCAACAACTTCCTCAATGAGAAGGGAAGTTGTAGGCTTCACTGATGAGGCAAACTCGATTATCGATTGGCTCAACAGAGGATCTCGGAGGTTGCAGATCGTAGCTATTTTGGGGATGCCAGGACTAGGCAAGACCACGTTGGCTGATAAAGCTTACAGTGAAGATTGTGTCTCGAGCCATTTTCATGTATGTGGGTGGACTATTGTGTCACAGACAGTGGATGAAAAGAGAGTCTTCCTATCTCAGATTGATCCCTCCAAATGTTCTGGGGTTACTACGGAAACAAGTGCGCACGACGTAGCTGAAAAATTGTGGCGCAGCTTAAGAGGAAAGAGATATCTGATTGTTTTGGATGATGTATGGGAAATTGATTCCTGGAGTAGATTGCAAAAAGACTTCCCTGATGATCACACAGGAAGCAGAATTATGTTGACAAGTCGTCGTCGTGATTATGCTCATGATATGCTTGATGGAAAACCTTATGAACCAAAAGCATGCAATAAAGAAGAGAGCCTGAATTTGTTGCAAAATCTGTTATTCAATGGAAATGGTTTGCCCCTTGAATTACAAGATCTGGGGATGCAAATTGTTGAGGCTTGTAAGGGATTACCTCTCGTGATTGTCATTGTAGCTGGACTTCTACAAGCCAAAGATCAAGAAGGTTGGAAGGAAGTTTTGGATGAATTAAGTTCGCGTAACATGTCGAGTGAAGAGCAATGGAGGAACGCAGTTGAGCTCAGTTACAGCCGCTTAATTACCAGAACATTTAAGGCCATGCCTTCTGTACTTTGCGGTATTTTTAGGAGATGCAGAGGTTTCAGCATGGAGATTGATTCGTTTAAGGATAGCTGAGGGTTTGTGCGGAAAGATGGGCTGAAGAGGTTAGAAGACATTGCAGAAGGTTTCCTCAATGATTTAGTTGGCAGAAGTTTTCTTTTAGTTGCCCAAAAAAGATCTCTGGGTGGAATTAAAGCGTGCCGCATTCATGACTTGATTCACGAATTCTGTATGCAGAAAGTCAAAGATGAACATTTTCTCCATTTCGTACAGGATGACGAGGTTTCAACATTTGAAGAGCCTCGCAACCTACGAAGGTTATGCATAAACTCTAAGACAGAGTGTTTCATGAATTCCAAGGTGATTTGTCCTCGTGCTCGTTCTCTCTATTTCAACTACTATAAAGATCAAGTGGTGCAAAATTTCTCACTTCTGAGGCACATGTTCAATGTTCTGAGAGTCTTGGATTTGGAGCGGATTCATTTCGGTTCTGTGATTCCAAGTGAAATAGGATTGCTTGTTGGGTTGACCTTCTTAGCAATTTGAGGTGATCTGAAAGAGATTCCCACATCAACAGGTAATTTGTCGAATTTGGAAACTTTTATCTTGTATCTTACAGATTTAAATGAGGTTCCATTTCCGGATAGTTTCTGGAATCTTCGGAGGCTAAAGCATCTTCGCATATGGAGTCAAATTAGCACACCCGAATTCCATTTTCCAATGGAAAATCTTCATCTTATACCTGATTTATATAAGCTGGAAAGCATTTCTGAGGTCCGTATTCCTTACCATTGGGGAATTGAAAGGCTGATGGAAAAGGTTCCGAACATTCGCAAGTTGAAATGCAAACTCGTCCCAGAACTTTGTTCTTGAGGAAATCTTGCCATGGTTATATTTCCCAACTTTTTGAGTCAGCTAGAATCACTTCATGTATCAATAGGCAAATGGAATTTACGTGACACTTGGTTGGACTTGCGTTTACCTGGGAACTTGAAGAAACTGGCATTGTCAGATTTACCTTTGTCTTGGAGGAGTCTTTCCACCATTGATGGATTGCCAAACCTTGAAGTTCTGAAACTAATCCGGGTAATCTTCGAAGAATATACATGGAGAATGGAAGAAGAGAAATTCTCCAAACTTCGAGTTTGGAATTGAGGTCCGCGGAGCTTCGCTGGTGGAGTGATTCCGATGATCAGTTTGGATGTCTAGAGAAGTTGGTTTTGGAAGGTTTCCATTTTGTGGAACAGATGCCGCCTTGTTTGAAAACATTCCGACACTTCAATTTATCGAGGTCATTGATTGTTCGTATGATGTATGGAGGTCTGTGAAAAAGATTAAGCGAGTGCAGGTGGAAAATGGAAATTCAGATATGAAGCTCACTCACTACTATAGTGATGGAGAAGAATCGGAGGGTACTACTGATGAAGACGACAGTGATGGATATGAAACGGAGACTTCTGATGATCAATAATACAATTAAGAAAAGTGGAAGCTCACAATAGAAGTTCAAGTTTTTAGGTCATTATGTTGAAAAACAATAGAAGTAATCAAATTTTAGCTTACTTCAGCTACTCTATTTGTAATAGTCTTTAAATGGGTGATGTTGGCACCCTTTAAAATTAGAAGTGTTTGTAATTCAGTTTCCAGGTTCCATCCATATTTTTATCATAAAGTCCTCTTTGATGAAATTAACACTAAAAAAAATAACATATGTATGTGTTAGGATAAAGCAAATCCTATTTGGCAATTATGGTTAATAATGCAAGTTGTCTCTCTATGGACGTGTCGGTCTATTAGTCCAGATATATTGTTGGGTCAGTCACAAACCCTCATACATGTCACCACCTGTAGTAGAATTCGGTCTATTAGTCCAGATATACTGTTGGGTCAGTCACAAACCCTCATACATGTCACCACCCGTAGTAGAATTAACAGAAAAGGAAAAGTATAGATCAGATTTCAAAAGATTAGAAGAAGAAATTGAAGAAAAATGTGGATTGGGATTCCTGAAATTGAAGGAGACGTAAATTTAGGGTTATCAAATATCTGATTAATGATACGTTTTATACCTTCGGGTTGACTATATAGTCTGACCTATTTTTTTATATTATAATCAGACCCTTTTACTTTGTATTGCCTATAGTTTAATCCAAACACATGACAAACTCTCTCCTTAAAACAGTCTTGTCCTCAAGACTGACTATTCCAACTCTGACTACACAAACACACTACTAACTATTACAGTAGAAGCTATCAACAAAACAAGCTAGAGGCAAAATTCAAAAACTTAAAAGAGAACAGAAGATAAACCATGTAACAGCTCCCTGACACCCTTCAGCAGCAGAGCTACCATTAGTACCATTTTCCTTCCAAGAATGAGCCAAGCGATCAACCACACAAAGTTCGGATCATTATTGACTTCCATGATAATCACACTAACCTTAGCAACAATTTTATCGCCTCTAAAAAGAGTTGCAGTTTGAACCTAATCAACCTTTTTCAAAAGCACAATACCACCCTTGAATCCTGTTATAACTTCACTCAAAGGTCTAATTAGCTTACTAGTTTTAGCTCTGCGATTGTATCCCAGTCTTTCTCCAATTTCTGTCTTCAGTTCAGTGTACACATTCGATTTAACAATCAAAATGGTAATTCCCGAGAACACAGATTCATAAGAATCTTCAAAAAGTAAATCTCCAGCTATCCCCACGTCATCACTGAACGAATCCTTGGAGCTGAAACCATTTTACTTCCATCAGAATCAATATTAAATATGCTCAATCGACTTCTAGTGTCGAAATTCAAATCCATACTATCAACACAGTCACTAGATACCTCAATAGCTATATAAATTCTAGCCAAACTTTTAGGAACACATGCAGGTTCGATCAGAACACCAATCAGATCATCATTTGGCAGTAAATGATCAGCAACCACACTATAGTCACAATCATGCTTCAACTTAACATAAACATCATTAATTAAACACATCTCATAAACTATAGCAACATCAGTCCAATTCAAACACAGATGACTACATTCACGAAAATTTCCATGCTCAACTGTTCCCAGGGGTTTAACACTTTCAAAGTGGAGAAGTTTACCTCTAAGCTGCAGTTCCCTTTTTGAGAATATTTCACTGGAATCTTCTGGTTGTACTAAATGGTCACTAGGGTCAATAGCAAACCAATGACAATCAATAACCACTGATTCCCAACCCCAAGTAACAGGAAGATTATATTTACAAATTAGTGACTCACAGTCATTCAAAGTCACAGAGGTAGCATTCAACAATCCAAGCGAAATACCCATCAGCTTACCATTCTTTGATAGCTTAGTTTCAATGATTCACAGTCAAGACTCAAGCAAAACTTGTGCTATGTAGTCTAGGACTAACTACCAGTGCCTCCCCATTTTGTTGAGCTAATAATTCATGAAAGCCAATACTTTCTGTACTAAGAAGTTCCCCATACAAACTCCCTCCTTATTAGACCAGCCAAAAAGGATTCTAATGTTGAAACATACACTGGCACCAAACTTAGATAGCTCAACAAATGAACTAAAAATTATTCCATCTTTCTGAGCCAAATTAACTTCAGACCGCAAAGGCAGTTTCACTAAAGATATCAACATGAATATTCTCAAGAAGCAACAACAGAGTACCATTCAAATGCACAAAATTAGCTGCTGTCAGATTATTTTGATGGACTAACCCTTATAGTTTATGAAAACCATGAAACTGCAAGGTTTTTAGTAACTAGATAATATCCTGCAGTGACGCCAGGGCCAAAAACAGAACTACTAGGACGATTTTTTTCGGTGAACAGACCTTGCAAATCAGCGGTATCATCGAAGTGACTAAACACACCACATGGCATCACAGCAGTAACACTAACATCACACTCTATTTCAAGAAAATGACCAAAATCCTTCGTTGAAATACACTCCAAAAAATCAGCAGACACACAATATAATGGAGAGTACATATAAACCACAGTTGAGATAGAACCAACTCTAATGCTTGTGTGGTGAGCTCGAACCATGACTCCTGTCTTTCGACCCATAACCAGTCAAGCATAATTTCTTTATCCACCAAACTAATTATGCTAACTTTGTCCTCCAAGTCAATCACAAATCCTATGTTCAGTCCAGACTCACAATACACAATTTTCAAAGCATGATAATCGAATTCATCCACCAAAAATTTGCAAACTAAATAGTCATACTTCATAGTTTCGTTCACCAAATTCAAAATGTTATCATGTCTAGCATTCATAGTCACATAGTCACCCTCAGAGGAATTAATTTTTTGAACCTCCAGGATCAATTACAAATAAGCCATGTAGTACTTTCCTTAAAACCAGTCAACAGTAATCTAAAAGCTCCCATTAAACTACAACCAATAGCACATAGTTTAATGTTTCCATCCCTGAAACAACTTATACCAAGAGCAACCTCACTTACAGTTTCAGCATTCTTAACATTCCACTTTTATGTTTCAGTTATAAATATTTTGATCTTCTCTAAATGATAAATTAATTTGACAAATATATTGAATAGAAGCCACAATTTACATGTATCTCACAAGTCACAATTTACAAGATTGAACTATTTTCTTCCTTTTTTCTTTTTTTTTTTCTTTTCTGAATGAAGGAAGCTTTAATTCACTAGACCACCTCACGCACCTAATGCTTTACTTTTAAGCACTTAACTAAACTATATATTAATTAATTGTTTGCTTGCCATCTCACCGCGACTGTCGCTACGAGAGATATTGGCAAAATTTCAAGTTTTTATTTTTCATATCATAGAGTGGTCATGATCGTCTGTGAAAACTAGCGAAAAGTTATGCAATCCGGCTGATTACAGCAATTTGATCGAAGCCAGTCAAAATTAACCTACTATGATATTCAAGTATAGTGAATTCAACGTTAGCTTTTTCTCATTACCATCCTCAAGTGTGGTGAATTCAATAGTACATTGTTTTTACTCGTTACGATCCTCGAAAGCTTCAGTTCATATCAATTCAGACAAATAGAATAAAATAATAATTTTGTTGGGCTTTGATTTTCCCAATTTTGAAATGACTTAAACAAAAGGGACCTATTATGATGAAATCCCAAACATATGGGATCAAAATTGTTATCATTCCTAAGAAGTGAAGAAAAAAGAGTTGAAACGTAGAACAAACGATTGACCCAGGAAGTTACACTCGCTTCCAAATGGTCTTTGGTGGTAGTCATCATGCTTGCCAAACCTCCTAGAATTTGCTTTCTGCTTTTATTTTCTTCTCAAATTGGAAAATAGAGAAGTAAAGACCTTCTGATCTAGCCATCATAAATTATGATTACATGAAATTCCCTTTTCTTACAAACAGAGCAAAAGAGGGCAAGAACACACAAAAATCCCAAACAGCTTTTGAGACGTGAGTATTTCATGTGAATTTTCACTTAATCATGCTATTTAAAGCTACCAATATATTTGCAGTATCGATAATGCTGGGGTTTTTTCTAGTAGTTCTCTTAATTTCTGGCTTTTCTGAATTGCTCCCGGGTTCTTCTTCAAACCCAACAACCAAAGATTCCACCTTTTCTAATTCTCTTTCGAAATCTAAGCCAGAGCCATTTTCGGACTTGTTTACTGCTTACAGAAGATGGGATTCTCAGGTGGGTTGTACCCAATTTAGAGAGAAACATAAAGATGGGTTGAAATTTGGGAATTTTTCTTCATCGACGTCTTCTTTGCAAGATGTGGATGGTGTGCTGCAATGTAGTGAGTTGAAGATGGATCATGTTAGTGTTTTGGTTAAAGGGTGGACTTGGATTCCTGATAATTTAGATAATTTGTACTCTTGCCGCTGTGGGTTGAGCTGTTTGTGGACTAAATCATCAGTTCTTGCCGATAAGCCTGATGCATTGTTGTTTGAGACTGTTAGTCCTCCCCGTCAGGTTTGTTCCTGGTTCAAAAATTGTTTTCTGGAGGTTTGATCTTTGGATAGCTTCTAGCGCTAATATTTACCCATGATAATGAATGATTTGAGTGACTTGAGTTTTCTGTGTGGATATTAAACTGTGAATTTGTTGATTGCTGCCCTTCTTATAGGTTTCTATCTTGTTGGATTAGGTGTTAATTAAACCTCTCTAATTGTGTAGTGGATGAATTACTGAAGCAAGTGCTGAGACCATACCATTGATAGTAAGTACTAAGATTTAGGCAGATAGATTAGTGGACATAGATCTTATCTTAACTCAAGGAAAACATTTTTGGCCGAAGCAATCATATGCAATGCTGCTAAATATAATGTAGCATTGGGTAACTTAGCAGCTTCTGGAGTAGAGATTTTCTCTTGCAAGTCTTTTTATCCTTAGCTTCGGAAAAGAAGTGAAGGAAATATTAGTGGAAGTGCGCCCAGATTTTACACATTAATCTGTAGCTCAATTAAATCTCTCTCAGTGCTCTAGCTTGTAATGTAAAATCTATTCAAATTCGTGTATAGCTATAATTTGATTTGAACCCTATCTTGATTTATGAAATAAGTTTATATGGTCTCCTGATTGTGTCGTTCTATCCAATATCTGCTCTTGGAATAGAATTTTTCTACTTTCCACATTGAGATTTCTGAATGATGCTCAGCTGCTATAGAGACCATTGATGTTGAAAATAAAGTTACTTGCTCAGGTTTTGGCATATTGCTACTCTCTGGTTTTGCTTCCTGTAGATCTAAATGCTCCCCATTTTGGATATGACTCCTGTCTATTGTTCTCATTGAATTTAGTTTGGTATCTAGGCCATCACTCAATTTTTCTTGCTCTGATCTTCTTTTGTATTAATCATTACGGTGATCTGTCTCTCTATGCTGATAGCACCACATTAGCCACCTTCCCCATCTACTTATTCTCAAATTCTCTTTGCGGGGTGCTGCGTCTGATGTCGATCAATGTGTTATTTTTGTCAGAGGCGCAATGGTGAACCACTTCGTGTATATATGGACCTGGAAGCTGGTAGAAAAAGATCAGGATCTGAAGATCTTTTCGTTAGTTATCATGCTAAAGATGATGTTCAGTCAACTTATGCTGGTGCACTTTTTCACAACAATCGAAATTATCGGTTGTCTCGGGAAAAGACTACTGTTAGTAACATTACTTTGGCCTTCTTAGGACGTGTTTATTTCTTTTGCTTATTTTACTTATCTTTGACTTTCAATCTTGTTTCTCATCGATGTGTATATTTTCCATGTTTTGTGAAATTCAGGATGCTTTGGTTTATTGGTCTTCATCACGTTGTCTTCCTGAAAGAAATGAGCTTGCTAAACGCATACTTGGATTGTTGCCCACTCATTCATTTGGCAAGTGCTTGAACAATGTTGGTGGTTTAGACGAGGCACTAACCCTCTATCCAGACTGCAGTAAGGATGCGTCTGAATCGCCTAAATGGTGGGATCATTTGCATTGTGCGATGTCTCACTACAAATTTGTTCTGGCAATAGAAAACACCAAGACAGAGAGCTATGTTACAGAAAAATTGTTTTACGCTTTAGATGCTGGGGCAGTTCCTATCTACTTTGGTGCCCCGAATGTGTGGGACTTCGTGCCTCCACATTCTATCATAGATGGGTCGAAATTTAGTTCACTCGAAGAATTGGCTTCTTATGTGAAGGCTCTCGCTAATGATCCTGTTGCATATGCGGAATATCATGCCTGGAGGAGATGTGGTTTATTAGGTAACTACAGGAAAACTCGTGCAGCGAGCCTAGACACGTTACCTTGCAGACTTTGTGAAGCTGTGAGCCGGAAAAATGGTAGAGACTCGAGGTCCTTATAGAGCTTTCTTAATTTTATCAAGTGTGGCAACCCCCTATGTGGTGTGGGGTTTTTGTAGAGATAGACTATATAGAGATGATTTAGGAGGTGATATATAGAGATAGACTATAACTGAGTATTTTTGTAGTCAGCATACTGGACAAATTGATAGGGATTGCATTTTACAAATTTTGGTCTTATCACATTATTCTACTGAATCCATTCTGATTTTGTGCAATGTGAATCTAATATGTTATCTTCTCCAGCCTTCTTAAGAATCTTAACGTTTACCCTTTACATCTTGTTCCCTGTCATTGGTGTTTCATTGGCAAAATGACCGTCAGTTTCAAAGATGTATACTTCTGGTTTAGTCCTAGGGTAGTGACAGTTTATTAGTACGAAGAAGTTGGGACGTAATCCGACTTCAAAAGCATTGTTAAGGCCACTGGGTTTGCAGAGATCAAAATATCAGTTCTTAGTTAAAAAGCAAAGATGCTCCATTCTTCTTTATAATCTGAAGAAATCAACTGAAAATGGAAATTACATTGAATACTAAGCAAATCATAGATACTAGAAAGAGCCGGGATCGCCTTCTTTATGGAACTTCCAAACAGCAGCCATAATTCCGCTACTACCAGACCTTTTACATTTTTCCACCCCTTTAGACTGCAAAGAGTAAAACAAAAAGAGATGTTCAACTTGACAAGAGGCTGTTACAGCTGGAAAATTAGCCCACACACATAAGCATCATTCATTTACCCTTCTGCTCTTCCCAATCTTCTCTCTTTTTGCAGTCTTCAAGTGCTTCGGCCGATTCTTCACGTAGTTTTTCAGTTGTGACTCATCCATGCCTTCAACCATATCAGTCTGTCATGTATGTAACAGCAGGGAAATGTCAGCAACCACAGAAACAGGTAGTTTCTCAATCAACAAACTTACTTGAAGAAGTACTATTACTGCAGAATCACAACGGATTTGTTCAAAGGTACACAAACACACAAAGGAGCACATACCCAAGTCAGAAGCTCCTCCACTTCCTTTTCCACTGCCTGTTGTTCCTTCTCTGCATGTTGCTTCCTTTCTTGCAATGTTGACCCCTGAGGCTCCTCAATAACAGATTTGGACTTCGACTTTGACTTTGACTTATCCATCTCTTGTGGCTGATAAAGAGAAGTTTGCTTTTTTTTTTTTTGTCAGAGAAAAGGAAGTGATGTTTCCAGTTACCTTCATGAAGAAAGAAATATATATATATGTGTGTGTGTGTGTGTGGGCGAAAATCGGTTATGAAGCCATGAAGTGAAAAACTGATATGGTTTGAACAAAATGCTGCAGTTATCGTTATGGTACAAGCAAATAGTCTAACAGTCAACTAACGAATTAATGTAGATGTACGGATGCCCTGCGACATAAACCCAACTTCAGTCAAGATTCTTACATCTGCTAAGACTCTGGAAATGCTGTCTAGTACTTTGCATTAGAAGTCAATGTAACAGACACAACTGCAAGAAGAGTTTGAGATGAGGACAAAGGGAATCCTCGTCTACCAAGAAAACTGAAATGCAAAGAAACAAAGAAAGAGCTTGTAACTCCTAAAGACTAATGCATACTTCACATAAAGAACCACCAGTAAGGCTACACTTCTAGAACCTCATTTTTCCTGTAGAATAGCCATATTGGCAAGCAGAAAACAGAGATGTGGTACAGTGATGGTCAAAACATAACAAAGAACAGAAATTAAAAAGACCTGACCCGCTTTAATACGTCGTGAGTCACTCCGCAAGGCTGCTCACATAAACCCACACCTAAATTGGTCCTCCTAGCCAAGCTTAGTAGCAGAATTTTCACAGTCAGAATCTAGAAATGCTTAATGTAAGCTTATTTACCCGAAAGAGGAAAAAATTGCAAGCTTTAACAGATGACACTTTTGTCCAGTTACATCATTTTTGATGTTTAAATTAAGTCTACTATAAGCATCCCAATGACTTGAACATAGAGAGAAAACATGACTATCCTATTGGACGCTATCTACCATTGTCCCTCATCTCAAACTGTACTTTAGTCTGATAAATGCGTATTGCAAATCTGCATTAATATAACCAACACTTAACTCTAACATGTGGAAAAAGGAGGCATCTTCTTCACTTCTGCAACATTGTGGTTAGCTTTCCAGAACGTTAAAAAGTATTTGGTCCTTTTCAGAAAGCAAGATGATGCAATCAATGTTGAGGAGACCATTTTGGAAACTTGAAGTAGTAAATGACTACTAGAAAGTGAAACAACTGAGATGGAACGGGAGATGGGGATCGATGATGGAACAGTAAAAAGATAAGAACAACATATACAATGCCAATGGTGACTAATGTAACAACTCGCACCAAGACAATCATGTATCTTGTCTGAATGAAGCCATATCCTAAAGCTAACTGCAGTCAACTGAGGAACTACAAACAAGACAGGCTTGTATCATTTCAAAGCACCAAGTTAAATACTTCCTTGCTTGCATAAGGAACTTTATCACTCAAATTGGTGCCAAAAATGATCTGCAGCACAGTCCGCCTGCACAGGTACATGGTAAGGCAAACCAACTTGTAGATGCAGAACTGATCTGAGCTATATCACCAGTACAATTTTGTGGCAAGCAAAACTAGGAGACTGCAATTAACAGCGCTTCCCTAAAATAACCAATTAATCTACTTTCTGATTATAAACACTTCGTATCTCTCATTCTCTTGGTAATCGTAGATAAAGAAACTGATCACTGTCATTCCTAGCACACAAGAAGAAAATCCATAATCTTGCACCCCAAAATGTAGACAAATATATGTACTTCAAGCAATTCTATTGACCTACTGCTCTGTGAACTTCAGCAGTTGAGCGGTTAAGATTTATGATACATACGGTTTGACATTCCATCAATTATCTCCACAAGGACCTCAGCCAAAAGAAAAACATGCATGAACACTGGGCTTACTTCCGACTCCAAGCATCAATTCTTATCAGATCTCACCGTAACATAAAGGTAAGGCGTAAAGCATTCAAAATCAACACATTTCTCGAAGATAATTGGCTGCTTTCAGCATGAGACATGTGGTGACCAAAAACAGAAAAATGGGTAGCAGGAGCAAACTCTTCAGGAGTTCTTAGTATCACAAGTTCAGATTACAAAGGAGCTTCAATTGCTCCCAGAATACATTCAAGGCACAGGTAAAAGCTACAGTATGGAAGCCAGGTACCTATTCAATGACTAAATTGTTAAGGACACAGGTTTATACTTACGAAGTCACTGTTTCTGGAAAAGTTCAACACCAAAATGGCATTGATAAATAGTAATACCAAAAGAAAGGCCGATCCTACTAAATCAAATTGGCAATGTGCATTTCTTTTGAGAATGTCCAAGCATGTGGCAGCGACCACATTGAACAACCCTCTTTGGACGTTTGAAACTCTCTATTCTGAGAACCTTCTTTTTGGGTCTTCCTGGAGGCCTGCGAGTCTTGGGTGGCCGAATAACAAAATCCATTTTGGCACCACTACCTTCCGCCCCTTCACCAAGTTCAGTCCAGAGGCTTCTTTCAGGGACAGGATAGATCACCTGGGAATAAGTTTCCCGGTAGCTGTGCACAGTAAAACAGTGCTCAGCAAATAAATGAGTATTCTGGCCGCACGAGAGAAGTGCAGCAGCAGCATGTGCACAAGGCAATCCATATAGTTGCCACCGGCGACAAGAACAGACACGGCTTCGAATATCCACAATATTCGTTCGTTCTGTTGAGACAATCTCAAATTCAATTTCATTTGCACGAAGAACTTTGTAGCACCGTGCATCGGCAATCGCTTCAGAGATCCTCTTTTCAGCAGATGGTACAAGAATTGAGTTCAACCTCATGGCAACATTGTGGCGATCATGGAACCATGTTGTCATCTGATGCCTAATCTGCTCCATCATTTGTACAATCGGAAGCTCATGGCACTCCAATGCCCAGCTATACAGTAATTCAGTAACACCTAATGTAAAATGGCCATAGCGAACCCCCTCAAAGTATGCCACAGCCCAGAGCTGCGGGTTAAATTGGTTAAACCATTCAAGAACATCTTGTGAAATGTCCACCATCTCAGTGATTTTGTTTTCAAATTCTGCAGATGTAAGCGCATAAACTGCATTCCAAAAGATATTCACCAATTTTGAGTTCTTGAATGTATCGCGAAAATTCTCACTGACATAGCGCAGGCAAAACCCATGAAAAGCATTTGGAAAATGCGTGTCAACTGCCTCCACTATATCCACTGACCTCTCAGACAATATTGTGAGTCTCGGCATGCTATCAGTGTTTACTCCAAGAAGTTTCCGTAACTCTGACATAAACCACATCCAATTTTCATTGCTTTCTACATCAACAACAGCTACCGCCAAAGGAAACAAAGCATCATCAGCATCAACTGCAGCAGCACAGAACATTGTTCCCAAGTATTTTCCTTTTAGATGAACTCTGTCAAGTTCCAAAAGTGGCCTGCAAGCATTCAAAAATCCATATATCGCAGCACGGTAAGAAACAAAGAGCCGTTGAAAACAATTATCTTGTCCTGTCGCGAGAACAGAAGCAATGCTCCCGGGATTCGTCCTTCGTATCTGTTCACAATAACCTGGAAGAATCCGGTAACCATCCTCAAAAGTCCCATGTAATGCAGCCATGCTGCGTTCCTTGCCTCGCCATGCTTGCATATATGACACGGCAACTCCATGCTTATCTTTAATATCTTGCAAAATCTCCTTAGGCTTGTATTGAGGATTATCCCGGACACGTGCTTCAACAGATCTCGCAACCCAACCAACAGATGCCTGCTGGTGGTGTAGATTTTGAACCCCTTCACATGTATGCTCCCCTTGGAGTGTCCGGATAGAAAAAGTAGGAACACCAGGGCATTTTGCTACATGAACACGCCATGGACAACCCTCTTTGGAACACTTAGCTATGAACCTACTTCTATCTGATTTAACAATCCGGATTTCAAAATGCATTGCTATAGCTATGTCCTTTAAGGTTCTCCTGCAACTATCAACATCTGGAAACTCTTGTCCGACAACTAAAGGCCGGTCCGCCATAACCATCTCTGCATTGCGTACTGTTGCCGCCAAATTATGATCAGCCACGTTCCCGCTGCAAGTGTCAACATCAGAAAATTCTTGCCTTATTGCTAATGCCTCATTCACAAACCCGGGATTTGAATTGGAAATCCGTCGAGGTAATGCCAGCTCAGCCATATTTCTACCAGAAAAGACCTCACAAAGTTCCCAATCTAGCCATACTCTTTCCTTCAAAAGCCAAATGCCTAATTAGCATCACCTAATCTTGAACATTCCCAGAGAAAAATCCTCTAACCATAAATATATCCCCAACTGGTTTTTCCCAAATTGCCGAACCCCCACACTCAGTATCCAGGAGGACCAGGTACTCCTCAAATTAACACACGAGCCAGCTTATCTACATAAACCAACAAAACCCAGATGGTTATTGCAGCAGAACAACACAATTATACAATCAAATAGTAAATTCACCTCTACCGCGACCCACATTTACATACAATAAAACGTTTTAAAAAAAAATGCAATCTTTGGCAATTGGGAAACATCAAAGAGTCAAACGGTAGATGAAAAATTCAGCTCAAGCAGTACAACTAGCTGATGGAACAGCTCACTAATCCTTCTAATTCAAATAAAAGAAACAACAATGGAGTAAGCTCAAACACCCAGTTTGATTGTTTATGGAAATGGAGGGAAACGGTTACCTTATAGATATGGGTTCGCTCCAATGTCGGCGTTTGTTAAAGAGATCTGCACCAGATTGAATGATCAATGGTATTGAGTGTAAATTAATCGAGCTTTCGGGGGTAAATTAGAAGCCCTAAGGGTTGAGCGGGAGTGAAGAATTGATTCTTCTTTACAAATGAGAAAGAAGAGCAAAGAGATGAGGTGAGGAGGGGAAATTAGCTCTGTGGGTGGGGACTATAGTAGTAATAATAATATTGTTATTGTCAATGGATAATGCCATGGGAGCATTGGCCATTTATTTTGAGTTCAATAGAACACAATATTTGATTTTCTGCTACTATCTCTAACAACTTTTCTAATTATCTTTTTATCTCAAAATAACATATATGTTTATTAAACGATTAAACTTTCATTCTAAGACCAAAAAAGACTCTGGTAAATTGTGATGTTGAGAAATTTTATTTATGGCTTCAAGAAGTTAAAGATATGAGTATTAAACCACTTGACTTTTGTGTTTTTATTTTTTTTTCGGGTTTTATAATTTATGTCGTAACTCATTTTACATCAACTAAAATATTGACACGTTTATAAAGGATGATCGACAGCTAGACGTAAATTTAACACATTCTGCTTGATCGACGTGATTTATATAATAGTACACTTTCTTAATACATAAAATATCGTTTTACTTTATATCATTTTGATTCTTTACATCATTTTATTTATTCAAAGATCGTTTCTTAAGTATATAAATTTAAATACTGACATCATTGTGCTTGTTAAAGAATTTTGATTTCAAATGATTGATATGAAACTTTCATTCTAAGTATTTATTTCAACTCGAAATTATAGATTATTTATATCAAGTTCCTAACATTCATCTATTCTTGTCATTATTTATTAGCCGCACGCTGAATTATATATCTAAGTAATTATTTGTTTTAGCCGTACAGACATAACTCAAAAAAGACCACTGATAAATCCAAGGATAGTTTTTATATATATCCAGGGCATTGTTTAAAAAAAAAAAAAACAAGCAATAGCCTTTATAAATCTTAATTTCTCGATGAATATTAACTTCACAAAAAAAAAAACATCTTTCCCAGACTTGCACTTTCGTTACTAATCTGAGGTATCGCGTTAATATACAGGGTTTTCATACGTATCCATATGTCAGTTTCAGATTTCGTAGGGGGATGGGATGTTAGTTGATATTTTGAGTTCAAATTCGTCATAGTAAATATTAAAAGAAACTTAGGAGGATAAAATTGGTAGTCCCTAATCTTATCCTAGATATAAGGAAACTGGGAGGCTACTAAACGCCCTAATTTTTTTATTTGAACGCCCTAAAAAATCTCAAAAAGACTATTTTACCCTTGAATTCATATTTTTTTTTAAAAAAAAAAAGGTGTAGACGATGGAGCACTGCGCCAGCCTTTCACGGCTGGCGCAGAAGAAATGCGCCACCCTTTAAAGGGTGGCGCACAATTTTCTCGCCTCCCTTAATTGGGAGGCGAGAGGAAACTTTACCCCCAAAATGGGGGTGGCGCAAAAATCTGGAGCCACCCCCTTCGGTTTGGCGAACCTTTTGCTCGCCAAACCGAATTACTTTTTTTTTTCTTTTTTTAATTTATTTAATTAATTAATTATTTTATTTATTTATTTATTTAAGTTTATTTTTTATTTATTTATTTGGAAGTTAAAAAATATTAAAAAAATAAAGAAAATTATTTTATATTTTTTCCATGCTTTTTAATTTTTCGTTTCAAGGTATTTTAAATTTTATATTTTTTTCCAAAAAAATATTCCCAGGACGGCTAGATGCACCGATGATGAATAATTAATTTGTTTGATAGTAAATTCATAAATTTTAGTTTTTATTAAATCATAATTTTTTGTTTACGTTTAAAAAATTTTACATAACTAAATGATAAATTTTTATAAAAATTTACTACATAATTAAGCAACATTCTCTAAATATTTAAGTTAAAATTATTTATTTAACCCCCACACAAATAAATAAAATTTAATAAATAAATAAATTAATAACATACATGAATTAAATAAATTCATTAAACTAATAATTAAAATAAATAAAAGAAATTAATTAAATACATTAAAAATAGTTAAATTAAAGATTATTAAATAAATAAAATAAAATAAAATAAAAAAGTAATTAAGGTGGGTGGCGCACAAAATGGCGCCACCCACCCTTTGGTTGGCGAGAAATTTGCTCGCCAACCAGCACAAATGTGGCGCACCTTCACCATGCGGCGATGGTTTTCTCGCCACCCCTTAAGGGGGTGGCTCATTTATCCCTCGCCATACATTTTTTTTTTTTGCAAACCAACTTATTTTGTAGGGGCGTGTGCGTCTTTTTTGGGCGTTCAAATGAAAAAATTAGGGCGCTCAACAGCACGACCCATAAGGAAACATGACCTTGGATTTATCATTGAGTCTAAAAATATAACTTATGCGCTCATTCACTTCCTTTTAGATTTCATGTTCAAAGAAATGAAAAAACGTAAAAAGAGATAACCTGAAATGACATCTACAACAAACATTGAAATAATGAAATAATTATTAGCAAAGTGAGTTTAATTTAATTTTTTCCTCATCTTACAAGGTCAGATATTGCTTTGTTGGTGAACTTAAGACATTATACAAGTGAAGTAATTTCTTTTTTCCCCAAATCTACCAGTGCTACATCATCATTACCTATACTAAACCCACCTTCTACATTTTGGCACAATAGTGAAACGTGCCAAACCGGACCTCCATGGCTCTTTTTTCATTCTTTTTATTCATTATTTTAAACATTTTATCCCATTTTATTTTTACATCTCAGAATTTAAATATAAAATTAATTAAAACTAACCCTCATTGAAAAATGGAGATAAAAACTATTATGAAGCAAAAGTCTACATCACTTGAGCTAGTTTTTCGCAGGTAATGCTCCCCATAAATCTTAATTAAGGATCGACAAAATTTTTTGACATACTGAATTACAGTTGATTCACTAATTCGTAAATTATCGAAATGATTATCTGGTGATCCATACACCAATTGTCGAATAGCAGCTATTGGTTTTTGTAAAAGAGAAAGACTTATTTCTCCGGCTGCATCTACCTTCCATGTAAAATATTCAAAATGGCTTTCTAAAACTTTGGCAATTCGAAGAAACAACGTTCTTCTCGTTTTGAATTGTTGTCAAAATGTGTCTTAAAGTAACACTGGATTGTTGAAAAAATAGTCGTTTAAAAGCTGAAAATGACCTTCATATCGATCTCAATTGAAATACCGCCGAGTGCGATATCTCTAACTTCCAACTTCATTTTGCTCAAATTGATCTAAGATATCATATTCTAAAAATTTTTGGACTTTATCTAAAATGGAGGTTTCGAAGAATTTTGAGACATTTGGCTAGAGTTGGTTATGTTGTTTCAAGGGTAGGTGTCTTGCAAAGCTTTAACATATAGGAATTGGTTATCGACGATATCATTTCAATAACTAGATTCCAACAACTAGTTTTCAACTTTTATGATACAACAGCTATTTTTTTCAATCGTTATTTTATGATGAATGTAAAAATAATTTTATAATCACTAAGTTTTAAAACATATTACTTTATTATTTTGTATTTATTGATATTTGACAATTAATACTTATTCATCCTACGTGAGCAATCCATAAGATTCTATATAATTAATAAAAAAATTAATTTCAATAAATTAATAATATATTATTTTAGTAATAGGTAGACATGAATTTAGATGGTAGCAGAAAATATTTAAATATTTTCATAAATACAAGCTTCACAATGTTTTTTATTATTATTATTTTTTTTCGTTCTAGTTTAAATATATGTATACGATTTTAGAAAAAATTGTATTTGCATGTATAAAATAAAGCTACCTATGTGGATTGATGATGATGATTTCAAAAGGTTGGCACAATCTTCATAAAACTAAAATTATCAACATTCTTAATGGAAAAACAAAAAAAATGTGATTTCAATAAGTAAAACTCAATGACACATAATAATAAGCATACATTATTATTCTTAGTTACATAACATGAAAAAATTGAAGGCATATTGGGCCGATAGAAGGTGGATTAGTAATTCGGAAGGGGATGGGAAATGGAGTATTCTGTTAATATGGGATAATTGGTTGGATATTCAAGTTAAAGTAAAGTTGAATCAGTTTATACACTGTTCTATAAGAATGAGGCAATGAGATGAGCAGTTCTTATTTACGGGTAAATATGCTAGCAACAAGGTGGAAGAAAGATGAGACCTACGGAATGATTTGAAGGATATCTCTCAGACTGTTAATGAGCTATAAATTTTTGATGGGGGATTTCAACAATATCTTGAAATCTGAGGAAAAACTTGGTAGAAGACAGGATAATGCACTGGAAATGGCAGCCTTCCAGGAATGTTTAGATACTTGTGGAGTGTTAGATATAAGGCGGCAAGGTCGACTCTTCACCTGGTGAAATATGCAACTTGGCAGTGAAAGAATTTATTCAAAACTAGATTGAGCCCTAGTTAATGGAGACTGGGTTGATAAATTCCTTGAGTCAGTGGCCGCAGTGCATGCAGAAGGAATCTCAGACCACTCACCAATTTTAGTGAAAACGCAGGAAGAGATGGAGAAGGTTAATAGACCATTTTGCTTTTTTAACATGTGGTGATCATCCCCCAAGTACCTGGAAGTCATCAAGAAGAGTTGGGAGAAGCTAGTGAAAGGAACTTGTATGTTTCGTCTCTGCATGAAGCTAAAGAGATTAAAGCCATGCCTGCGAAAGCTGAACAGAGATCGTTTCGGGGAAATTGATACAAGCCAAAGAGATCAACTGAAACTGCAGCAGATACAGGAACAATTGAGTCAGCAGCCTGGATTTATGGCATTACCATTCCAGGAAAAAGAGGTGTACAAATGTTTTCTCAACTCAACTCAAGCTGCCATTAGTTTTCTGAAGCAAAAAGCCAAGGAAGATTGGCTGCTTGCAGGGGATGAAAACACAGCTTTCTTCCATTCCAAACTGAAAGCCAAGCATATGAAGAACAAGATATGGTCGATCACTGTTGAGAATGGGGAATTGGTGAGAGACTGGAAGAAAATAGTGGAGCATTTCCAGCATTACTTTCAAGATCTTTTGGGCCAAGTTAACAAAAGAAAAAGGGCTGACCAGGATGTTTTCAGGCAGGGAAACAGACTCTATGTTGCTCAGCAACTTCAACTGATACA